CAATATAAGTAGTGGAAAATGAAAACTGAGCCTGAATATCAAACCATGATTCTCCTGTTGGTTTTAGATTGTATAACATCAATTGCCCAGAGGCATATACTGTACATTTATACTGTACATATCTTAATTGAGCGTTTTTATTAACATGTATTTAGAATTTTCTCTGCCATGGCAGAAAACATGGAAGTGGCTCTAGGATTATTCTGCTCAGTAATAATCAGTGCTCTAAAAATGGATGAAAGACCATAGCTCAAAGTAAGCTACCTTTCTTATGGAGGTTAACCCTGGTTGATGTAATTAAGAGTAGCCAGTCAAATAACATCCCTATATAGGTAACATAAGTTACCTGCTTAATTTCTCGCAATTAAATTGTTTTATGTCTCGTGAGATTAACAATTTAACAGTGTCAGGGCAGCTCACCAGGATCAGGAGTGGACAACTTGTCGTTACAGTTGCAGTATGTCAAGACTAACAAGGCCAATAATACTTATAAAGGCAAGGAAGAAAGACTAAAGACTAATCTGTTTCATAGAATACCCTATGCAATTCCAAAATAATATCCAGTACAAAATACTGTTTACATTGTACACTATACACTAAGGTGCACCATAGGATTTCTGTTTTTGTTTTTACCGGTGCACCTACTTTTCAAATGGGTGTAGTATGACAATTTGACCCCTAAGCACCAGAGTAAGGACCAAAGTAAAGCAATGCGCTATATAGTGAACTGTATATATATATTTTGAGCTTCAGCAAATATCCTGTTAATATATCACTGTTTTTAAAGGCAGAATAATTTACAAAATATGGCTGTATCTCTAATGAAAGAAAATGCTCCAAGTCCTCTTATAAATGTTCATAAAATAATTGTTCAAGAAAAGTTTCAAAGGACTGGACTCCACTGAAACAATCACACTTTTCTGTTTCTTCAGTGACCCCAGCAAGCACACAGTGACAGGGCATGGTATCAGCTTAATCAATGATAACAACCTGAATTTATTTTCCTTAATGATCAGCTACGCCACTAATGCATGTTGTCAGATGAAATATGAAGCTCCAGGAAGAGCTAAACGAACTGCTCCAAAGTCTGGCTTGATAAATGCTCACTAAGAAAATTACCCCCGCAAAACAAATTACATTTGGATCAGGACTCGTTGGATGATGAATTAATTCAGTCAAGTCCTAGATATTGTTATTTCGAAAAAAGTATTTCTACTTCCTATTTGCAGTGCACAGCACCAACTCTGGGTAACTGGTAAATATGCTTTTTTTTTTGGACTTTGCTTCAGTTTTCGGTAGAATTTCATAGATTTTCACTCCATAAAGACTTACTGTAGCAAAGTTATTTATGTGTCATTTTCTCCCAATCTTAGAACTAAACTGTGGCTACTATTTTGAACAAACTGCTTAGTTAAAGATTCACATTGCATATTTTTGTAGATGCACCATACTATATATCTGAAACATGGCCCATCCTATTCTAAATGTGGTGATTTGTGAATGCTGAGCACTATAAAGTGAATATTTGTGAACTATCAAGTCATATAATCATCTTTGTGGAGCATCCAATTATAACACCATCTCACAGTGCTTTCTAAAAAATCATACAACAGCAGTGCCCATAAAATTATTTTGCAGAAAGTTCAATAGTGAGGAAACCACATAATTGAAATAACCCCTGAATGTAGCCCCCTGTATACATTATCTTACTGACAAAACCCTCTACCAAGACCCATCAGAAATATTTCCACTATATCTCATTTTAAATCTAAATTCTTCAAATTGTATTTTGTGGCCACTGCTCTATCTTACTGATCCTCTTTCTGGGTGTATTGTTAGGTACTGTGATTTCTTTGTAAAGGCGCCCAAGGTAATCTGGGCATGGTAGGGCACAATAAAAACTGAAGTTTGTTTTTTTCTGGTGATATTATTGCTTGTTTTGTGGTTCAATGAAAAGTCATGCAACCTTTAGATGGAGGCCATTCTCTGAGGGTATATAAAACTATCCCTATTACATCTTCTGTAATCCTGCAATAAAAAAGACTGATACGCAATAAGATGTGTCAAAGTTTGTTGCCTGCTTTGTGCTCTCTATCAGGCTAATACCCAGCCTTACTAACAAGGCTTGAGCAATGGAGCGATGAACAATAATCTTCAACATGTATTCAGCAGAATCATTATGACAGAATTGGCAGTCTTAATTTATTTTTATTTCATTACTTAGCTAATTGCAGGGACATGCAAGGCCTTTTTTAAGAATGCATTAAGTCTTTACCCATATAGAAAAGAGGAAAATAATTTTCTAATACTTTCAACAACATTTCTTTTTCATCTTAAAGAGATAGCTATCCACACTCTTTCTGGAAATAATAGTTTTGCCTCTGGCTAACTACAGTTTATATCACTGTGCCCCAAAAGCATCTGAAACAGTGAAATATTCAGATTAGACCGAGATGATGGGAAGCAGTATAAATGATGGGAACCAGACTGAGCTGGTGTTGGATTACAAGAAAAAGATATTTAAACATTTAAACATAGCAAAAAATGAAAAATATATACATATCCTCTCTGTACTGTCACAAACAAGCTTTCTGCTATATAAAAAAAAATGTTTGGGCTTTGAAATTCACTTTGCAGTCTTGCAATATTAAATCTGAGTGTGATCAGTTTATATAAAAACGAATGCTTCTTTTTTTCCAACAGACATTTTACTTATAGTTGTCAACATTTCCTTCACAATCACAACTGTAGAACCCATTGTTTCTCATTTTTGATTCCACTTTTAGACTGTACATTGAGAGGTGGGAGGGCTGTAAAATGGGTAAATGAGCCTGCGAGTCTTGTGCACCAAGTGCAATCCTGAAAGAGACTTCTTCTATTTTAAGTATCAAATGGAGAGAACGCACAACCAAAAACACCTAAAAAGTGGATGTTGAAAATCAGATCGAGGATACTTGCTATAGAGCAACACTAAACTGGTGGCCCACAATCGCACTAACTCTTTCGTCTTGGAGGTGTGGTCACACGTAGTCCAACTAATCAAATCCATATTACCGAGTCCCTGGATTGCAAGTAGAGGCTGTGGAAAACACCCCAAAGAAAAGAATAAGGTGATGGGGTAAAACAAAACAACTCACGTATCTCAGGATGCTCTGGGGTGTTATGTGTGTTTAGGACTCTTGTCATACCATGATTTATTTTACTGAACCATGAATATACCCTCCTAAGTTTTAAAACATTGAACTACTAAATAATATATGGCTCTCACTTCCAGTGCATCTCTGAATCATTGCTGGACTGTATTTCCTTCTGGAAAAAGACAGGAAACAGAAGGGAGTCCAGCACTGACAGCATTCATCTGGAGCCCATAATGTATTTTTCCAACCCCAGGCCCTATGCTTACCACTACGCCATGCCACCCAGAAACATCAGGATAACACACTGATGCTCAATTTCCACATTTTTCTTGAGTTTTCTAGTCCACTACATTTCGGAGCTCCCTTTCCATCACGTCGTTTTTGTTTTTACTGTACATCATGCACGTCTTTGCTGAGCATGTGACAGCCACGGGTGATGAGCGCTTTCTCCGACGCTCGGTTCCTCTGAACGAAGCTGTGGTGTCAAGACAGAGACAAGCTGCGTGGCACAGTATGTTGCACTGCCAGAGGCTCAGCAAGTGCGGTTATGCTCCTAGCAGGGCGTAATGACTTTCAGTCCCGCCATGGAAGGGAAAGTGACACTGTCTTGCACAGTGAGTAATGGGGTGTGTTATTAGTGTGCAAGGGGGGTGACATCAACAGGCATGAGGCGTAGTGCCTTTTCGGTACAGTCCTGGATGGGATGATAACTAATGTCCATTTGCTGTACAAAAGCATTTTTCAGAGCCAACTGAAACCTGTCTTTTGCTAGCTAATGAGCTTCAAATTAATGGACCTAATGGCAAATAACACCTAATAGTTATTTTGATATGGGATGCCATAAACTGTCCTTTAGATTGACTTATCAAGTCATGCCCTTCATTTATTACCTACAATTCTTTATCTTTTATAATACCCTTCACATCCAGATGATAGTACAGTAAGCTTGTAGCTAAGAGCATGTCTCACACAGTCTCCGAGAATGCAATTGCATAATGGATCATCACATTCTGCCCATGAAAATAATATTGGCGGAAGATAATTCAACATTTTGAGTGATGTGGAATTGACAATGGGCAGTACATAAACTTGAAGATGGTTTTGAGCTTGCAATGATTTTTATGTGTTTATTCTAAAAGTATAAAAATTAATTATGACACCTAAAATATTCATTTGTCAGCATTCCTGCAAAAATAAAAAGATGCTGCAGGGCTCCAGGACTGTGAGGGTGCAATGCTGATCACGGGGTCACTGTGCTGACCAGTCTACAGTATATATTACAAGGGTGGTGCGATGATTCTGTGGCTAAGGATCTGCACAAATGTGTGGCCGGCAGAGGAATCCTACTCCATTGGGCCCCTAAGCAAGGCCCTTAACTCCAACTGCTGTAAATTGCTGACGCTGTCCTTTACCCCCCAGCTCCTCTCCCTGTCTGTGTGTCTCATGGAGAGCAAGCTGGGGTATGCGAAAAGACAAACAGAAGGGGACATTCCTCAGTTGCAGCAGTAATGGAATCCGTATTAAGATGCTACTTTATAATTGATATACTACATATACAGTATTTGTGTCAGAATGACCTGTGGTACCTGGTTGTAGCTAATAGCACACCTACTGTTAGATCTAGACAAAGTAGAATCAACCTCATAAAATTATACACTCTATGTTTTATATACAGTACATACCCTGCATTGTACTGTATATATATGTTTATGTATTTTATGTTCACATAGCACTTTTTTATTTGGAGTCCTGGATCAATAACACAGACCTGGCAGCAATCTTATTCACTGCTGGTTTTGTGTAATTGCTGTGTGTAGATACCCCCCCCCCCTAAAAAAAAAAACCCAAAACAAATCTACCCACCTTGCCCACTTCTCTTCCTTTCAAATGAATTCATCTTCACCGTTCTGCAACAACAATTGAAAATAAACAGCGTGATAATCTGAGTGTCTGTTTAAACACTCCGCCAAATGAGTTGCCCTCCAGCTCATGCATATGCAATGGGAGTGAAAGTCAAAACAGCTAATAGCGTTCCAGCTGTCTTGCTGTCTTCCCACAGGGATGGCTGGTTCCGTCACTGATGTATCACAGCCATATGCACTCAATGGTGTTAAATACACCTGCAGGATTAGCCAAAGAAGGCATCTGTCAGCTCAATTATCCAAGTACATCTGTGAGCACTGCACACCTGATGGGCTTCTAAACCATTCTCATGGTACCATGAGTTCTACTTTTCTAAAAGGAGTAATCGAAGGTCATTTGTTCTAAAAAGCCAATTCTATCTGAGGGCCATGTGACCCTGACTGAAGCCCAATGCGATCAAAAGTTGCCTAAGAGATGCTTCTGTTTCCAAAACAGAAGCACAAAGGGCATATTTCAAGCAAAGTACATAAATGTACACTTTCAGGAACACTTTACTGCAGTTGAAATGTATAAACAAATGCTGTGATAATTGCTAAAGACCTGGGAACAACTGGTGACTTTAGCAGATACAGTATGTACAGAGAAGCAGCTGCATGATGAGACTAAACAAGGCTTCTATGTTCAAAAAGGCATAAGATATTTGCTTGTGAATTTACTACTATGGCATTTGTAAGAATAAATGAAATAATACCGCATATATCATTCCAAGTCTTCAGCCTTTTATATGAGAAATTAATCCAAACACATTGTTGTCTACTGTTCTCTTAATCATATCTGAATTACATTTTTGTAAGATGAAGCTGCAGAAAACTGTAACTTTCCCAATAAAGTTTTCTCTTCAAGTTTAAAATGTACATTAGCTTTGATTTGCATTATTTCTACACTATAAAAACACAAAGCAAATTCAATTCACTGTATTTTCCACACTGACTTGAAATTACTGACATTGGGCACTATACTGTGCTTTCTAATTAAAGGTATTTATAATTAAACCTTCTAGTAAGCCCATTAATTGTGCAGCACTCCACAATAAGCTGCAATTAAGCTTGAGCCCCATTTTAATGAATTCTGATGAGGTAAAAAGAAGCAGTATTAACTAGCCTCGTGTTTAGGATACTGATTTCATTTACTGACTAGGTGGTTGAGACATGAACATGCACAGAGCAATAGTTGTGTGTTCACGGGAAACTCTGGGAATTTAGATCAATACTGGAGTTGGTTAAAATTAGACGTGCTGAAAACAAAGACTGGCAATCAATAAACGTTACTGGTAAGGTGTGTTTTCTGCAATCATGGAGCTGTGAATTTAACTAATTTAACTAATATTTGGATGTGCTTGCAATCAGTGGGGCTAGATTGCAGAACTGGTGATGTGGTGGCGAGATGTACTGTGCCTAGTGACCCCGCTGACACAAGAAGTGATCACTACTGTAGGTAGCTATATTTGAGACAGAAGGTAACAAGCTTGTGAAAACAAACAAAGGCCTCCTGGGAAGGGGCTAGCTTGAGTAACAGCTCGATACAGCAGCCTTTTCACTTCTACACCTCTGCCTGGGGTCAGATCCTCTACAATATTCCTTATGGGAGTTATGTACCAGCTATCAGAAGACATTGGATCCCAATGCTATACAGTAGGTTGGATAGTGACACCAATGAATTACAAAAAAATACCTGTGATGGATGACAGTAGTTAATGTTTCCAATCAGGACTTGTCAGATTCAATTTTAAGCTTTTCCAAGAAACAGAGCACATTTCATTCTTATCAATGATACCCATCACTACAGTATCTACAACAGCACAGTAAACGTTTTTTAAGAATGTGGTATATCTATAATTGTGGTAGGTCACTGCTTAATGGTGTTTATAGCAAATGTTCAGGAGGAAGGTTAGATCCTAACCTCTCTTACATTCAGTATATGGAACTTCCCTTTATACATTTCTCATTTCTGCCTCCCCATCTCCACCCTTGCAGCGGCTCCCTAGCTCATTTCTTGAGAAAGTGAGGGGGGTGGTTTAGTCAGGCTGTTTTTTCAGTGAGTTACACCAAACAATAGCTAATACATTTGTTCCTCTCTCATATTAATTAGGATCACGTTGAGCTACTTAATTAAAACACACCACTTGGTATGCATTATGATAATCGTTCAATCTTCCTTTATTTTTAGAAAGGCTGCATACATGTTTTAATGTTGCTTTCTTAAAACAGCTGCTCTTTGCACTTTGTCAGTTAGATTGGATAAAAGCTTAAGACGTTGCTGTCTTAACCAACAACCATTGACAACATTGATGCACATGTGGTTAAAATGAGGAGAATCCATCAAAACGGGTCAAGAGGTGGGAATAATTTAGTTTCTGATGTATTTCAGCCCAGGAAGTCTTCATTCCAATTCAGTGTATAAGGGAAATGCAGTTGTATTATCCACAAATTCCAGTGTAGAAGCGTTCACAAAAGAGAATATGAAAAAGTGGCAATGTAATACTTAAGAATTATAAGAATGGTAGAAAGCTTATACACATTCAGTCCATTCAGACCATCTTGCTTGCGTTGTTGCTATTAAAGATGCATGAATACAACCTATCCTCTTCTAAAAGGATTCCACACAAGTCAGCTGCAATAAGGAGTTGGTTCCACACAATTGCAATTCCTGCAAGTATCTGCTGTTCTCTGTCTTGAAAGCTTCTGAACTTAATTTGTCATTTTTGTCCCAGGACAAATAGAACACAGCACACAAGATTCTTCAACAAAACCATAAGCAAAATCAAATGTATTTAAAAGTGCCTGAACTCTGAACTGCTGTTTAAGGTCTATCCACTACTGACAAATTTAAGGTTCATTTTTAGGATGCTACTGTATGGGGGTGTTTGCACTTTTTCCTGGTGTTGGACCCAACTGTGGAATCATTTAGAATAAGTTATCTCCAGACTGTCAGTTCTGCTACATTCACAAAGAAAAGCAAAAACCATCATACAGTATAGGAAAGGGGGGCAGAGCAATCCATCTTGACATGTTGGTATAGGATTTGGATATACAGTACCAGACAATGAAAGATTTGTCCTTCATTACAAATCATGTTCTGCTGCAACAATGAGGCCACTTGACATGTTTTGCTCAATTGGATAAAATAAGATGACAGTATGCAGCTGCCAGCTTCCTCCACTTTCCAGGACTGTGAAGAGGCAGCCATGAGGGTTGAACAGAGAGCATCTCGTATCTGTATTGCAGGGGAGGCATCCAACACATTTCTTTTCACATTTCAAGTCAAGGTGAGCCTTGACGTGACTTGTCATTACCTCTGAGCACGTTCTTTCCCACGTTTTGTCAACCCTACTTTGAACAGATGTTTTAGAAATGCAAGAGGAATTCATTATTACAAGATCTGAGTGAAATGTTTTAAGAATGGGGAACAGTATGGGCCCTGCCTATTCACTGAAGAGAAATTAAAGTTTCTGGATTAAAAACTGGAAAATTGGTCACTGCTTGCGTCTACAGTTATACAAGAAGAAAATAACACAAGAGGAAAAATCTCTGGTGTTGGGAAAATTTCCTTATTCCCAAACACTGATTTTTTTTTTTTTACACAATTGCTCTGGAATCTGCAGTGAAACCGTTATGTTAAGAACCAACGTGCTGGGCCAAAGACACCCAGCAGTGGGCTGACAGCGAACAGCTGGGCTGGGCTGCGTGCGGCAGGAACAGGGCTGTGCAGGAACTATGTTGTTGGAGCAGTCTGGGGAAATGGAATGTGGTACAGGCTGACAGGCCAGGGTCGTAATCCGAAACAAGTGTGGGTCGTAGCTGTAGAGAATACGTACACAAGGGAGGGTCTGGGAGATCGGCTGGGTTTCAGTCCAAGTTAACAGCCAGGGTCAAAGCCGAGAGACGCACAGTAAATGAAGCCAGGCGGGTGACTGTGGAACACAATCAGGAGACGAAGCAGAAGGTTGCAACGCAGAAAGCAGGCAAGGCAACACAAGCAAAGCCAAACCCAGGAACAGACACAGACACAAAGCTAGAGGGGCTCGTGTATCGAAACTCGAAGGCCCGGATATTTATTCTGAAGGGCACCTGGACAGGCATGGTGGCGAACTGACTCCAGGTGCTCCAAGTGTCCAGGTGATGAAATTCTGCAGCAGCCGCTGCAGAGAGACAGGTTGACAATGATGTAGCCAGCTGCCGCAGCGCAGCTAGATTGCCCTGCAGAGCAAAATCCGGGATGAGCACGACTGCATCAGGAAATTAATGAGTAGCACTGTTCTGTAAATCTACAATTTTATGTCAAGTCCTTAAATATAACAGGATGCAGCGGTGTACACTGGATAAATAAAGAACACATTATTTGCATTCCCACCTATCTACATTTTGAAAAAAATAATGTAGACATTTGCCTCAGATTTCAGATGCAGTAAGTTGTGTCTTTTGCAGTATTGTAAAAGATTTATTTGTAAAATAACATGGATGAACACAATATCTTTTTGCTGCAGTGGACAATCAGGCCCCCACCCCCTCTATCTAAGGTGAACTGATTCTATAAAGAGGAACAAGAAACTACAAATTTAAGCTGATTACTGGCTGCCCGGGCTGTGTGTCACTGTGCCTTTTTAAAACGCTGTCCTGTGGAAGCAGGAGATAAGGAGAGCTTCGCAGCACAGCAGCAATCAAATTAAGTTCGCCTGTCCGCTGAACACATCGCCACTGGCACTGGCGCTGCTTGGCAAGGACACGTGGGGTCCTGACCTTAAGGAACATTGGTATTCTGGTCTGCACTGGGTCAGACTGAGCAGACAGGAAAGGAGCAGGATCTCGCACTGCTGCATGTGGCACATTTTGATTGATTCATGTAGGAACGACCTTGGCTGGGAAAGGGGGGTGGGGGGGGGGTGGGTTGTTTAAATATCAGGATCGTCTGCAGCAGAAGGTGATTTGATGCAAAATAAAGACATCTAGAGAACAATCGACCAAAAATGTCAACATTTTTTTGATTATGTAAGAAAACCTTGGCTTCCATATTGACAAACATACTTAAACTTGAGCTCAATTGTTGACACTACACTTGTCCAAAGTTAACAGAGAGAACGGAGTACAGGACCATTCCAATAACAGAGTCAGAGGGTTCAACAGGGACCTTCAAGGCTGACAAATTCTAATACAATGGTCAGTGCAACCGCCGCACAGCAAACCCTAGACTACTATGACCCACATCAGGCTTTCCTGGTTCCAATAAGATCTTGTCAAGTTTCTGACTTTGACTCCCACATCAATGTGTAATGATCTCTCTGGAATTCAAACTTATAAACCTGCAGAACACAGAATCGCCTTTTTGTTTCCACTAAATTGAGAAGTATCATTTTCACCATTCTTTCCACAGCATGCGTCTCCTTCCTGGAAAGGACTTTACTTCAAAAAGGCCATTTTTTGTTTACAAAAACATCACACTTTTAAAGTTAAGTTCAGGTCAGTAAGTTTAGAAATGTACTATTATCACAGCAACTGATGCTTGTCCAGACCAGTGTTCTTTAAAAGCTCCAGTTATGTGCCATTGAGGAGGGATCATTTGCTTTTAAAAAGCCGGTGATCTGGTTAAACTAGCTTCAATAATTCTGTTATCCCAATTGTAATACTACTGTACCTAATGTTTCCTTACTCTTGTCTCTTTAGGTCAGGCCTCTGATTAACAGCTACATTCCCATGCTTTTGTCACTGGAGGGGATAATTACATGGTAAAACATTGCACAGGCCCTGCACACTATAATATAAGTGCTGCAGTTTATGTTTTTCCTACTTAAATAAGTAGGTTATTGACATTCACAGCACTATAATCTCAAGTCTATAATACCCTCCTGGTGTCTTCTTTGTATTTCTCTCACACATCCCATTCTTTATCACATTTCATTAACACTGGCGGTTTCTGTGCTTTTATTCTTGTCACTGGGGGGAAATAAAAATATTGGTTTTGAGTTCCTTTATTTTGCATGTATTTCATTGGCAGTGCACGCTAAACATTTATACTGTATATATTATCTCATATAGAATTCCTAAGGGCTCCTTAGTACACAGTGCCTTTATCATAGCTAACTGATTCTTGATTAGATGCTCTTTGCTTACAAATTTGGACGGGGGGCACTACTCCCCATACTGATGGCATGGATGTGTGTGTACAAATGCAGTTGTATAATAAAACTAACAGCGGCTGCTATATTGATGTACTGATGTAGTCACCATGAGACAGGCCCCTATCTTGCGGGATGAAGCATGCTTTGGTAAGATGTCCATAATGCAGTCCATATAGTCACCACTGAAAAACATTGTTCCGAGCTGTTTCAGCAGAAATGATTGAAACTGCTAAGCCTTGTGTTATTATGTAGTTCACATGACACTTAAAAAATTCAGAGCACATGAGACATTTCAGATGAGAAGGCACTGTATGACTGTAATGATTTTGTGTTTGCTTGTACCCAAGAGCCTCATTAAGCCAGTTCTTGATGTGTACTAAGTTAAATGTTTTGGTACAGCAACTGATGTCTTCCTTTCCCACATATTATAAAGATAAATGCAATCCATTTAATAAGGATGTGACCACTTCATTCTTTAATAACATTTTTTCACTTTTTTGGTTTGCGTTTTGTAATTATGCGTTTACCGGTCTAAAAAAAATCATGTAATTAGTCTGCCTTGGTTTACTAATTGAGTCAATGTTGGTGCATAATTACAGTCTTGCTATCATTCAATGGTGCTGTATGTTTCATGTGAATACTTGCCATTACCCATATTGATTGCTTAATTTAAATGTTGAACTTTCAAAAGCTACGTGCAAACATTTTATTGGGGAATGCATCTCTTTACTTCCATCCTATGCTGAAGGGATATGCTTGTCCTGATAAAAGTTCTTCCAATTCTTGAAAGCCTAGCTCCTAAAACAATGTTAAATGGAACATCAGAATGAATGTCTTTTGTTTCACATATCTTTGTATTCTTTGTATTCCTGTTAAATTTAGGCCAGGATCAATCTGTTTTAAATCCACATTAAAATAAAGCCTCCATCCAACTGTCACATTTGCCAGCCCTGTCCTTGCTCACAGCTTTCCTTTGGCTGGGTCCAAAAGGGCTCTGCCAAAGACCACCATGAAGTTTGGAACAGGCTGTTGATGAGTGGCTGAAGATTGCCTTTAATCTAGTCCCCAGTATGGCACAATCATGTGTAGTGAAGTACCCAGTGGAGTAGACTGAGAGTCACTGTCACTATGAAAATGCAGGAATCCTGTAATGTCATAAGCTTAGAAATGAAGAAAAGAGAGTGCAGTATTCAGGTCATTATTAATGGCAACTTGAAAGCCAATTATTACCCCTTCGTGATAATTATTAGAGGTTTAGCACAGTTCTGCTGGCATTTTATCAGATCATTAGAATGCAACCAACTGTTCATTCATCTGAAGGGCTGAATTTGTTTGTGATGTTCTTCCACAAGTTATGTCATATTTCATTGTCTCACAGAAAAAGGGAAGCAATCTGGACTTTGGCTTTTCCAGTTTCCTTCCATCTACTGGCTGTCCATAAAGTCTAATATTGTTAATACATGTTCCAAACTGCTCACAGTTAATGAAGTTGATGTGATGAAAAAATGATGGCTCTGTCATTGTCTTACATATTTTACAAGTGGAAGTCTTAAGAGAATAGCATTTGCATATTTATATTATTTATAGCTAAATGTCAGGAAGTCCACAATAAACTCAAGATGAGGAAAAGATGTACAGTATATAACATTTTGTCCTTATTTCTTGGAAACTAATTTGCTTCAGCGATTCTTTAATATTTGGTCAAATGAGATATGCCAATGAGCTTTCTTATAGCCTACCAGTTCGGAATAATGAACCGCTAATTAGCTCCGCTCACTGCTTCAAGCAGGAGAGAAGAGATAAGGACCACGTATGCTTTCATATGAAATGTGCACCATCTACCATTCCAGCTGAATTCCAGACATGCTTGCCTTCTGTGCGGGTGTTCCTCTAGTGTTTACATCTTTTACATCATGTGCTCCCATTTTCTCCCACTTTCCACAGATACTAACAAGGTTAATTGGTATCTCTAAATTGTGTGCCCTGCAATGAACTGGCATTCTGTGTAGGTTAAAATCCCACCTTGTACACTATACTTTCAGGACAGTAACAATAATAATAAATAATTCATTGCCTTTATATAGTCATTTTTATCCCAGTGCCCACACCAGAGTGATCAATAAGAAAAGTGATAGACGCATTTGAAATAAATTCTCGCCAAGTCATAGAAGTTGCTCCTGTATTCAAAGTCAAGAATACTCGAGCCCTACAAACAGCAGGGATATTTAGTCAACTATGGTCATACTGTAAGAACCTGAAAAGCTATGAGAATGATCAAATTGGTCCAATTAAGGCATTAATGAATTAGGCTTTTAAATGCAGAGTGGTGTTGAAAGCCTGCGAACATCCTCCAGAACGAAGAGAGAAATGAAGACCAGAGCACACTGCCCAACGGCCTCAATGCCCCACCTTCCCATGTCCTGCCCCGCCCAGCCAAGCCCCGCCCTCGCATGTCCAGCCCCGCCCAGCCATAGACTCTGCATTCACCGGTTGAGCAGCTTGAGGGCTCCCTAGTGACAGAATCCTAGTGAAATTCCCTTGCTTCATGTCCTCACAAACAGGTTGATTTCTTTTGTGCTGGAACAAATGTTTTAAGCAGAAACCTCAGAAACGTTTGCAGATTACATATTGTTAAATGCAAGAGAGGATGAAATCATGAAATAACAGAAAAAAGAGTGAGAGGTCAAATACTCCTTGAAGCGTTCCACACTTAATTAGCTCATACTGTGCACTGAAAGCAGTGAGAAAAAAAACACAAATCCAATTTACAGTTTCTGAAGGATATCAGTACAAATATTCCAATATGAATTGAAAAAATATCAGAATGCAGATAATGAAGAGAAAAATAAATGAGAAATTCAAAGTAAATTACATTTTGTAATTAAACCAACATTTTCTCATGTTGTAAAATAAGCTTGAGAGATGTGCCCTTGAGTTCTGTCAAACAAAAAGACCAAGATTTTCTTGGTGGTTGTATGACTTCCCAAGTAATGAGTAGGTTGAAAAAGAATATAATTTCTATATGGTTATTCATTGTTAGTGTCAATAAAAACAATAAAAATAATAGCATTTTCAATAACTCATGAAAATATGCTTCTGAAGGTATGATGAGGTTCTATACCTTCTACCTCACAAATTGTGTGTTCTCTCAGGAACACCTGAGTTATTGCAAGTTCTATTTTAGGACCTGCAATGGAAATAACATTGTTTTTAACATTTTCATTACTAGTAACAAAACTGTGACAGAGCAGTCTGTCACTGTGGCAAATGGAACATGCTAGGACAGGGGTGGCAGAACTTAACAGGCTTATGTTTTTCTAAAACACCAGAGTGCATCAGATCTCACCAATCTACCCTGTTTGTCTCTCAGCCTGTGGGTACACACGCAGGTTGAGGAAATGAGGAGAAAGTACTGGTAGAGAACATTATGTTTAGAGAAATGGCACGAAAGAAACAAAACAGTGTAGAATGCCAATAGCTTACCTCTTAACAGCACTGCATGAGAGGAGAAGCCAGTGCCTACTTGTTTGTAGGGGGTCCTCAGAAAGGTCAAAAGGTTGCAAACACATAGGAGACTGGTAATATGCCTGAAACTTAGCTAGTGGAACATACCATTGCTGGAATGCTGAGAGGGGAGGTTATCAGAGCCTAAGGCTAATGCTAAAAATGGCAACCAGGTATAGAAGACCTAATGAATGTCTGTCCTGTGTATTGTTAAGGGTTTCATGTATTTGTGTGTCCAAGTAGTCTGGACTACTGTGTTATGTGTTGTTTCTTGTGAATTTTATGTTTTACACCTAGTGTATCCATAATAGTACAACCCAAATCCTATTTTAAGGGTATGTTGAGCACTTGGGGTTGTTTGGAGTCATGGGTTAGGAGTTTAGAAATAAGAGCAAGGTGTGAGTGGATATTATAAAAAGGTTGTTGCTTTATTTGTTTATTTAATACTTGAGAAGAGTATTGACTTGACTGACTTGCCATCTTGTATTATTTTCTCTCTGTGAACAAAACGTCCTACGGCCAACATTACCCACACAGGAGGTGTTTGTGTGACAAGAATGGAGAAGAAAAACACTACTACTGCTCCTATTTAAAAATCATTTAAAAACTGACACTTTTCTCCCATTAAGTGATTATAATAAGTATTGGTTATTATTATAGTTATTGAGGGCAGTACAGTGGCACAGGGGTTAGCATTGCTGCCTCTCAGCTCTTGGGCCCTGGGTTCAATTACCGGGGTGCTGTCTGTGTGGAGCTTGTATATTTTCCCTGTGTCCGTGTGAGTTTCCTCTGTGTGCTCCGGTTCTCCCACAGTCCAAAAACGTACAGTTAGGTTAATTGGCTTCTGGGAAAGTTGGCCCCGGTGTGTGTGTAAGTCTGTGTGTGCCCTGCAATGGACTGGCATCCCATCCAGGTGTGTCCTGCCTTGTGTCTGTTGCTTGCCAGGATAGGCTCTGGCTCCCCTGTGATCTGGTTTTGGATAAAGTGATTATAAAATGAATAGATGAATGGATTATAGTTATTGACTATGTGACCTTTTTCTTTGAGTATGTCTTAAAACACACAGAAATTTATGAATTACAATTAATCCCAGCATTTGGGCTAAATTCCACTATGGGCTTGTTCAATATGGCATCGCTAAAGATCCCCTTTAGTAGGGTAAGGTAAATTCTCACTTCTTGAACTAATGTACTCTGTTTCGGAACTGCTGGAGCAAGCAGAGTGGCTATATGCTTCACCCAGGTGGGCGCTGTATTTCAGTGGTGAATAGTTTCTGTCCTACATATTAAAATCCGTCCAGCTCCGGTGGAGCCTCTCAGCAAGAAACAGGCACAAGGTGGGATACACATTGGACGGGATGCCCATGTAAAGTAATCAAATTGAATTTTTAGTATCTAATAAAAAAGTAATTATTGGGTTAACAAGTTAAAGGTGAAATCAAGATTCTCATGCTAGAGTTATCCCCTAGTTAAGAGCCAAAATTAGCTCACTTTACAGACTGATTAGCCTTTGCTTAATGGTTTACGCTTAATACAATACTCATCTATTGCCTGTAAAACACTACGTCCTGTAGATTTACCAAAAAAGCTGCAAAAATACACTTTTTCAAATCTGAAAATTCATGTTTTGGTAGAAATACTGAACATAAGTTAAATACTAATTTGATAAATACTGCAACTTTATCACAGTAGTGCAAATACAGTATTTCAACATAAAGACAGGCTTTGTTCTGTCTAGATAGTTTCTCTAAAATTGGTCTTCAGCATGTGCATGTATTTAACAGCTGCTCAGAATGAATTACTGACAATCGCAGATTAATGAGGAAGCTTTCAGCTTTCCATCTAAACTTCTGAATCAGCCTGTAAATCTCCTTACAGCTGTGTGAACCTCCTTCGTATTTTTGGCGTGCCCAGCATGGCTGTGTTTCAAGGTTTTGTCATCTTCTTAAGAGAAGTGTCACATTTACTTTATTGCTGCTGCAACAACTGAAAGATACAGCTTCACCCAAAATGAATATTCAAACATGATTTCAATGCTTACAGTACTGTATGTGCGACAAAACCCGATGCAGGGCTTTGTGCATGACAGATGATAACTGATGCCTCAGATCCAACAGGAAAAGGTCTATACTGTCAAGGCTTTATTCTCCCTTTGGGATCATTTAATGGAAGAACTTCCATACCCTACCTCACATCCTCTTCCTTTTGCGTTAATGTCAACAATTAGACACTGTGTCATAAGGATTCAATTCAAGGAGGAAACCAAGTGATATT